CAGTAACAGAAAAAATTCATTAGAATGTAATAAAGAGGTGAAAACTCAATAGAAAATACGAGAGAACATACATGAACTATACAGAAAGAAAGAAAAAGAAAATGAATGTACCTGAACATACTAGAAAAGAGCCAGAAATTCTGATACGGTTTTAGAATTCATCGTTCTCGCATTCAACAAAAGCAAAACTTTCGAAAACTTGACAGATAGTTGGACATGCTTACGAGGAAACACCACGAACTGATCAATCGCTATTTAAATTTTAGTAATGCCAATTTGCAGAGCTTGCTGAGTTATTAACTGATATAATAATCATTCAGGCAAACAATGCGGCTGCAGAGTAAATTTCTGATAATCAAAGTTTCCATTAACTTGTCCATACCCTATAGAGGTCCTCTAGAGGCCCTATAAAGACCCTATAGGATCACTATAGGGGGAGCCTATTGGACCCCCTATAGCGATCCTATAGGGCCTTTATAGAACCCTATGGGGGCTTTTAAGGTCCTTAAAGGCCCCTATAGAGCCCCTACAGGACCTTATAAGCCCCTATAGGGTCCTATAGAGGCCCCATAGAATCACTATAGAGGTCCTATAGAGGCCCTATAGGATCACTATAGGGGGCCCTATAGGCTCCCCCTATAGTGATCCTATAGGGTCTTTATAGGGCCTCTAGAGGACCTCTATAGGGTATGGACAAGTTAATGGAAACTTTGATTATCAGAAATTTACTCTGCAGCCGCATTGTTTGCCTGAATGATTATTATATCAGTTAATAACTCAGCAAGCTCTGCAAATTGGCATTACTAAAATTTAAATAGCGATTGATCAGTTCGTGGTGTTCCCTCGTTAGTACTACATAACTACAAAGTTTCAGTTGTATATCTTATACTATGGACTAAACCTTATAACAACACTATCATGTACTATTTTTTCAAATTTTTCTATCGGTTATACTGATAAAATTTAATATAAAAGTCGCTCAACAGTCTTCAGTTTTCGTTAGTGAATGGTTAAAGCTCATCAGACCACTAACTAGTGATGGTCGTAAGAAAATGTATTTTATTGATTACGAATATACAAAATTCATTCAAGCTATTGTACCACGAAAAACAACTAAAGAATTAGTAATTTGTGAAATGTCATTTTTTCAAGATGATCAAAATCATGAACAAAGGGTGGCTTCGGATGCCGTTAAATATATTTTTTATAAAATCGTACTGAACCAAAAAATTGTGCTGCAAAATTAGCCAACGTTTATTCTATAGAAAACGCTCGCGTGCATTAAAAGGAAAATGGTTAAAATTAATAATCGATCAAGGTGGCAATCAAATACGGAAACGGTGATAACTATTGTTGTGTGTTTCTTTTAATTTCAAATAATAGTATTTTTTTTAAATAATAACCAAGATGATCAGAAAAATTGAAAAAATAGTATATGATAGTATTGTTACAGGTTCTCATTCATAGTGCAAGCTATAGGCCTGAAACTTAATAGTTGTGTAGTACTAAACATATACAATTATCTGCCCAAGTTTCAAAGACTTTACTTTTGTTGAATGCGAGAACGATGAATCTTAAAAATGTATCAGAATTTCAGAGACACCCTTTATAATGCTTACGCTCCTTTGTAAGCAATATAAAGTGAGAATATGTAAAGAAGATATGTTCTGTGGAGAAGAAATATTTACTTTCATCACGTTCTATAAGAAAATCACTTGTATTTTCTGTTATTCTTTTGCATTTCTATTATATCCAAGAAAATATCGATGAGATAGAGAAAAAAATCTAGAATAAGCTGCTGTTTTTATTCAGATATATGAAAGAGTATCACAAAAATTAATAGAAGCAGTTATTCAAGAACATTGAATAAGATAAAGTTGATCTTTCTGCAACAAGTAACAATGTGTAACATTAATTTGTAAAAAATTAGATCGTGAGATTATTGCTTTATTGAGATATGAAAAAAATATATGTAGAAAGTCCAATAATCTCTGTCTTAGATAAACTTATTATCCTTGTTTCTCTAGAACAAAGCGGCAATGGAATGATTCTTTCTGGAATCCTTTTCTAATCTATAATCTCCACCAATAAGGAAAATAGAACGGTCCGACTTATGGACAAAGTATCAGATCTACTGGTGATGATCACCTTAGTTTGTTCACGTTCGTCAGTACTAATTTGAAATGAAACAGTGCAGCAGTTCCAGTGCTTATAATTCCGTTCTTGCTGGATGGTTTGCTTCCAGCATCTCGATATAAAATATTATCACAATTTGAGCTTTTCTTTACCAAAACACACAATATTGGGAAAACAACCGAATTAGCTGTGAATTCTTATCGTATTGAATACGAAGAATGTAAAACAACAAGGACATACCTGACGATTTTGGTGCGGTAAAACAAACTACCAGTATACCGATGATCGTAACTATACTCGTAATCGTAGGCAGTACAAAGATAGGTTTGGTTATGAAACCCATCATTACCCGCCAACAAAATTTTCTGGAAAAGAGCAACAACGATGATACTTGACATCAAAAGAAAAAGTCTTACATATCCTGCCCAATCGTGTAATTTTTTATTCGAGCGATGGTATTGTTCTGCATGTTTCTTGCATTTTGCGTATTTGAAATTGATCTCGGTTCCCCGTTTGCATCGACGAAAACAATATTCTTACGACGCAAGTAGTTGACCAGTTTAACGTTATTATCCATCGGAGTCATTTGAATCTACGCAAAGACAGTGGTTAAGGAAGAACACATACCTGATATGAGGATATAAATATATCTCTAACTATGGAGAGTTTCTACAGGAAACAGTCGATGCGATAGTTTTGGCTAATCTATTCAGTTAATATACGTACAAGCGGACAACTTTTCTGTGCAATTTCAATGATTTCTCAACTATTAAACAAATGTGTTTAATATGTTGAGGAGACTGCACAAGATTTTTGGCGATAAACTTATATCCGATCAAAACACTTGCATGAATACTGCAGCATATTAAAACAAGTAACGCTCGTCGCTTCGACTCGCTTAGCCCTCGACTGAACAAGATATCATATTCAATTTTTCACAGACGATATAGCAATAGAAGTTCACAAAAATTATATGAAAACGCAGAGTACTTTTTGAAAATTCTACTAGAAATTTGTACACATTCTAGAACATTCCTCGATAATGCTGTTGACTATAGAGTTCTCTAGGAAAATAGAAGTTCTGTGGAACCCCTAGCCGAAAATAAAACATATTATATCTGATCTCTAATCGAAATCTGATATATACAACAAGCTCTTATTCAAAGTAGTGATAAGACTAGACAGGTAATTTGAATATATCAATGTACATTCAGATACTTGAATTAATACAAACAAAAACCATATTCCAAAAGAAACATTCTTTTATTTCATTCATGTTCACTACCGATGCAGCGAATATAAATTCTTTCAGTAATACTTTTATTCTGACGAACTATTCAGTTATTTTGTCGAAACATAAAAACCGGTTCTCATCCTTGACTTGACATAGTTTTTTCAACTTTTTGTATCTGATATTCCTTATTCAGACCCATTTGACTTCGACTATTGACTTTTATTCAATGAATCCCAACACTTCGAAGCGGCACTTCTGGAGATAACCCAGTGCAGCAGCTAGCCGCGAGTGGCGCCCCTGAGGGGCGCCGATGAGTGACTAATTGCTGCCAGGTCTACTCCCATCTTTTCACAACACTATCCCTCTGTATTTTAAATTCACCTGGTCCAGAATTTACTATTTCAAAACTTCGTTAGTCTAAAGCGTTAGAACTATCGATAGGAATTTTCAAATAAAAGTTTTCTCATGAATTATTTCTCATTTCCGCAATTTGATTGTAGAACTGAGAAACCAGAATATTCTTTGAGGTTCTCATTAAGGAAATCTTAGTGCACTATTCTTCAAAATGCCTAACCGATACAAAGATCTTTAGTGAGATCAGTCTGTAGTATGCTTGCAATGTTAACGATTAACAGTTCATTGGCGCCCCTGTGGGGTACCAGCCACGGCTAAGTCCTCCTTTTACATAAGTGCACTTGAACGACAGACTCTTATTGACCATGTAATACAACAACTACGATATCATTCACATATGCCTTTTCAAAACTATTTTCTTTGAATAACAGTAGCTAGACACTGCACATATCAGAATTCCCGAAAACATACCAGGATAAAAGTATCACTTTTCATAATAGTAATTATAGCATATAACAAATTAATACCAGGTCTCAATGTTAGATCCACGCCTATCCATGTATATATTTCCGCAGATGATAGATTTAAAAACACGAAAGAACCTTTCTTATAAGTATCAAACACGACCAAATTCAATAGCTTATTCACTCTTATCGCGTACATTTAACTAATAAATAGTCAAAAACCATTCCATAGTAACTACAAATGACTCACTTAATTGATAAATATTTTCATAAGACGAAAACAAACATACAATTTCCAATTATTTTCTTCTTTTTCATACATTTATGCAAAACCGAAAAAGACATACAGTGGCCGTCAAAATTGACCAACCACCTAAGAAAAAAAAAATGTTCGATTTTTATTTTTCCAACGAAAGATGTTAGAGACGTGAAACCTTCACTATGTTGTAGGCCACTACTCATAGTATGTTTAGTATCAGTATCAACCAAAAGTTTTCTCTCGTTCATATTTTTATTTAGAAAAAAAAAAAAAGTTCGAATTTTTTTCGCGTCAAAATTGACCAACCAGTATAGAAACTCGCATTTTTTTTCTTCGTACAAGGTGTTAGCGACATCTTTTTCGTATTTATTTGTTTGGTAGGTTTAAAATAGCTAGGTACGGTGCTAAGAAATCAGTTTACATAATGGCTCCTACGAAGAGGAAAGAATTCTCACACGACCTACGTGAAGTCGTAATAAAACGCTATCTTAATGGTGATTCTGAACGGGACATAGCTCGAGACTTATTAATCTCACGTAATACCGTTCATTATATGATTGCGAAATATAAATCAACGAAATGTATTGGAAATTTGATCGGTCGAGGACGAAAACGGAAGACAACAGCCCATCTTGACCGTGTCATTCAGCGTAAAATCAAAACCAATCGTCGAAAATCGGCTCTGGCTGTCAAAATTGAACTTCAAACTGAGCTCAACATAACTGTTTCTGAATCAACGATTAGTCGGCGAGCTCATGAAATCGGTTTATATGGTCGTGTAGCTCGTAAGAAACCATTGGTAACTAAAGCTAACCGTGGTAAACGTGTTCAATATGCTCGAAAGTATCGAGAAAAACCTCTTGGCTTTTGGAATAATGTTTTATGGTCTGATGAGAGTAAATTTAACTTATTTGGGTCTGATGGGAAGGTTATGGTATGGAGAACACCGAAGGAAGAATACAATTCAACATGCATAGTGCCAACTGTGAAACATGGAGGCGGAAATGTTAAGTGTTGGGGATGTTTTTCGGCGTCTGGAGTTGGCAATTTAGTATTTATTGATGGGAATATGACTGGGGAGATGTATCGTACTATCCTAGACAATAATTTGCTTCAGTCTGTGGAAAAACTGAAGATGGATAACGAATGGACCTTTCAACATGATAATGACCCTAAGCATAGGGCGGCTATTGTGAACAATTGGTTGAACCGAAATGGAATTGAACGACTTGAATGGCCTTCCTTTTCACCGGATTTGAACCCGATTGAACACCTGTGGGATGAAATCGAACGACGGATGAAAAAAGAACAACCAAAGAATGAAAAAGAATTGAAAGAGTCGTTAACTCGTGTATGGAAGGGAGTTGAGAAGGAGGTCTTGAAAAAATTGGTCGATTCAGTTCCGAATAGACTAAATGAAGTAATTCGTATGAAAGGAGGTCCTACAAGATATTAATTCGATTGAAAAAAAGTATATTCTCACATCTGAAATATCGTTTTTGTGTTTTGGTTGGTCAATTTTGACGCGAAAAAAATTCGAACTTTTTTTTTTTTTCTTAATAAAAATATGAACGAGAGAAAACTTTTGGTTGATACTGATACTAAACATACTATGAGTAGTGGCCTACAACATAGTGAAGGTTTCACGTCTCTAACATCTTTCGTTGGAAAAATAAAAATCGAACATTTTTTTTTTCTTAGGTGGTTGGTCAATTTTGACGGCCACTGTATACTGTTTTAGCTGATCATCTACTTCAGCAAATGCACATTCTAAATCCACAAAAAAATATACGAACCGAAAAACTAATTCTTTTCCTTTCAAGTTCGTTTTTGATGGAGTGAATTTAACTGTTTTAATGATGTTTTCCATTCATACATTGTCACTATATTCTATTCTTCGAGAAAAACTGGTCTTAGGATGCATACAAAAATATTTCTCCTTTTTTATCACTTTGAGTCCGTTTTGAAACTCACCAGATCTAACCCCTTCACATTCTCTTGTTTAATCTTTTTAATTTAACGCCCTTCAAAATGCAACTGTCGAGTGCACCAGCTAGTCGCTCGTAGGTGCCCCTTTGGGGCGCCACTCGCGACTAGCTGCTGCAACCTCTGATCTTCTTCTCCCATAAGATAGTTCTTTTCACTTAAACCCTGTTAAATGACAGATTGCTCTTACTTAGAATATTAGATTTATAACACCATCGCTCCACATGAGCAGCTCCGGACCAACAGTTTCCTGTTATTTATTCCTAATTTCTTTAACCCAATGGTTTAGCCAATACGGTAAAATTTTATTAGGGCTTCTGGTTTGGAGAATCTTAGTTGATTATTCTTGATAAATGAAGGTTTCACGTAGATCTTTTGCTAAACAACATTAGAATACGTTGGCAATTTTAGCGACCACTAGTTCGCCAACACTTCTCTCAGGCCTTGCTCATAGTCCCTTGTTGCATTCTTGGAATACATTAAAACAATCATTGGTTATTCAGCATTTATCCTACAGGCCGTAACTTCATTTACAGGATTCTTTTAATGCTACTTCTCTCGACTTAAGCAGAGTGCACTCAAAAAAGGCCACTTAACTCACAAACCACTATGAATAATCATGAATCCCACAATGTTGCACACATTAGGCTGAGTGCCAATGGTTTGTAAACACTGTTTCATCACACTACGACTTACTGAAACACTCAACCCATTAGATCACACTCTGATTCATGTCTACAACGATACTATGAAAAGGCTACCGAAACTAAACAGCAATTACAAACTCCAAATATGCAGAAGGATTGTCCATATTTCGGGTGTCCATTTTTTCAAATGCCTTTTGCTTTAAAAAAATTGACTTTTTCCTTAGACAATAATTCAGATAAAAAAGGATGATTTGTCTCATACAAAAACCAACTTGAGTTTTTGAACAGCTGACTTGAGATTCGGATTCTCCGACCTGGATTTGCTTTCGTCAACCTTTATAAAATATCGTTATTTTCTCAAAAAACCCTTTTCTTGACCCTAAGACTCAATTCAAAATTTTAAGAAACTGACTTCAGATTCGGATTCCCCGATCCCGATTTACTTTCGTCAACCTTTATAAAATATCGTTATTTTCTCAAAAAACCCTTTTCTTGACCCTAAAAATCCGATTCAAAATTTCTAGAAACTGACTTCAGATTCGAATTCTCCGACCTCGATTTCCTGTCATCAACCTTTATAAAATATCGCTATTTTCTCAAAACATCCTTTCCTTCACCCAAAAATTTGAATTCAAAATTTTCAAAAACTGACTTCAGATTCGGATTCTTCGACCTCGATTTACTTTTGTCAACGTTTAGAGGAAAGAACTTTATCTGATTGGTCGAAAGCCCGATATCGAAAACATCTCATTGGCTGAAACTATGGGCTGAATAACGTGATTGGTCGAAAGCCTCAAAGCGCAAACTTCTTTAAGCGTATGTTTTTTTGACCCAGAGGTTCTTTTAACCCTGATGTTCTTTTGGCCTGACGACAAGCAAGCAAGCAACCAAACTCTTTTTTTTCATATGACCCTTCCTTCAGTCGAGGGAATACCAAAGTTTCATCAAAATGGGCAAAAGTCTTAAAATAAAAAAGCTCATTTCTGATTGGCCGGTTCCTGACCACTGAAATCTCGACCAAAAAAATGGGCTGCGGATTCGGATTCAGGGCCCTCGATAACCTATAGCAAAGTTTGATCAAAAAGGCCAAAAGTCTTAAAATAAAAAAGCTCATTTCTGATTCGCCGATTCCTGACCAATGAAATCTCGGCCAAAAAAATGGGCTTCGGATTCGGATTCAGGGCCTTCGATAACCTATAGCAAAGTTTGATCAAAATGGCCAAAAGTCTTAAAGTAAAAAAGCTCATTTTTGATTGGCCGGTTCCCGACCAATGAAAGCTCGGCCAAAAAAAACGACTTCAGATTCGGATTCACGGTCCTCGGTAACCTATAGCAAAGTTTCCTCAAAACGTCAAAAATCCTTAAAATAAAAAAGCTCATTTCTGATTGGTCGGTTCTCGACCAATGAAAGCTCGGCCAAAAAAACGACTTCAGATTCGGATTTCCCAACCCCAATTTATTTTCATCAACCTTTAGAGGAAAATTCATCGTTGATGTTTTTTTGACCTTGACACAAACAACGTACAACGTACAACGTACAACGTACAACGTACATACAAACAAACTATTTTTTTTCATATGACCCTCACTACAGTCGAGGGAACAATTATCAAAGCTACTGCTTCGAATATTTATTTAACCAGCTAACGCTTATTTAGTTTTTGTTGATTTCTGTCAAAACTAGTACACATTATTTTTTCTGTTTTCAATTCTCTGGCATGGATACTTTCAGATGTAAGATCTTAAGGATGTTTTTAGCCATATTTTTTAAAATAGTAGATAGCATAACTCAGATCCGTCGAACCTTGATCAAAGCATCACAATCACTACTTGGGCAAGCAAAAATGTCCTAAAGTTTCTACATAGAAAAAGGCGCATCGAAGTTATTTGATCCTCTTTTTAACGTTTAGAAAAAAAAGTTATCGAAATGAGTCGCACCGCGAACTCCTCTTTTTCTTTTGAATTAGTTTTGGAAGAAAAGTATATTAAAGGAGAGTATGAATATTTTCCATGCACGCGATTTCCAGTTTTGTCTATATTTTCATATATTTGGGCGAAATATATTTGTTCGACATCAAAGGTTATAAACTGATAATTTTTCGACGAAACTGTATCTCAATGAGATGAAATGGTCTAAGACAATTCGTGTTTCTTCACGTCTCTTCTTGAGTTACGATTATTTTGGATACCCTGTTCAATGACATTAAGGTAGCAGTAAAATCAAATGATCGAGTTTATAGATGCAATAATGTCTATGATTAGACATCAATGACAACAGTTAGCTAGAAAAGCGTAGGTCATGTCAATTGGCACATCGAGAGAAAGGAGATGATCGCCTTCAAACTTAGGGAAAAAATTTCTCGAGCGTAGCCGTCTTTTTTCAACTGATATCCAAAAAAATTTGTCAAGTGTCACCAAGAAGCAGCCCGATTCGTTATCTCTTCTTGTCTTCCTCGAGTATTGCTGTTGGCCAACATCTGCTCTCAGATATTAATTCATTAGTAGTCGTATACAATATGATTTGAATGTGCAAAAAGTGTGCGAGATCATCAAAGACGGTTTATTTTGAACTATTGTATGTATAGAAATTATTACTCAATTAATTTTTGAAATCCTAATACACGATTACTTAGAGAACTGTAATTGGTGCTGCGAATAACATCTATACTATATCGATCATGTCACTAAGTGTACCCATGTCATATAGAACGGTCCGTAAACGGCCTGAAACGATCCAAAAACGGTGAAAAACGACTGCCGTTACGGCGATCGTTTACGGTGTGCCGTAAAACGAAGAAATACGGCGAAAAACGATATCCGTTACGATGATCGTTCACGCACCACCGGAAACAGCTGCCGTTACGATCATCGTTTTTTTGCCGTTTCACACTTCTTTTCATCGTGTCAACATAAGTACTGTAAAGTCATCCTTAGACACCTCCTGACGATTGATGATCGAATAGACACTGCCTATTTAAAAAAATGAATGCTATTTCTTTCTATTTACATTCCTTTTATCGTCTCGTTCAATACTATTTATTTGAATAAATAAATTTATTTTTTTATTTACATTTTTCTCAATGAAACATTTAACAGTAAGTATTTTGTTTAAATAAAAGTATTTCTTTTTTTTATTTTAGATTAACTTCAACCGAAATACAGTAAGTATTTTATTTCAACAAATTCATTTATTTATTTTTATTTAGATTTATATCAATCTAGGTAAAGTTAGCACCAGATTCGAGTTTTTGCCGTCCGGATTCGTTTGTGTACTTGAGTTATATTTCGTTCAACTTGAGTTAGGTGCAGAATTTTACGGTGAATCCGATAGTGTAAAGATCAAAGAGGATCATCGAGTAAAAACTAGCACTTGACCCTGAAATACTGAATTTTTCAAAATTTTTTGACAAGTATTTGCTGTCCGGATTCGCTATTTTACTTGAGTTAGGTCTAAAAATGGTTGAGTTGGATTCAGCATTAAATTCTGCATCGAATGATATCGATTTAGTATGGGGTCATCGAGCAAAAATTTTTTCACCGCACCCAATCACCCCCTCATACTGACCTCCACCCTCATCCATAAGAAAAATTTTTTGCCCGAGGACCCCATACTAAATCGATATCATTCGATGCAGAATTTAATGCTGAATCCAACTCAACCATTTTTAGACCTAACTCAAGTAAAATAGCGAATCCGGACAACAAATACGTGTCAAAAAATTTTGAAAAATTCAGTATTTCGGGGTCAAGTGCCGGTTTTTGCTCGATGACCCTCTTTGATCGTTACACTATCGGATTCACCGTAAAATTCTGCACCTAACTCAAGTTGAACGAAATATAACTCAAGTACACAAACGAATCCGGACGGCAAAAACTCGAATCTGGTGCTAACTTTACCCACGTTTATATCAATGAAACATTCAACAGCAAGTGCTCAACTTAAATAAAAAGTATTTGTTTTTTTATTTAGATTCATCTCGATAAAATATTCAATAGTGATTATTTTATTTAAATAAATATTTTCTTTTTTTATTTTAGATTTAGCTCAATGAAATATTGAATAGTAAGTATTATATCTAAATAAAAATACGTATTTTTTTTAATTTGGTTTATCTTGATCAAACATTCAACAGTAAGTATTTTCCATAAGTAAATAATTTTATTTTTTTTACTTTAGGCTTATTTCAATTGGAATACTTAACAGTAAGTATTTTACTGTAACTAATTTATGTATTTTTTTTTAGATTTAATTCAATGAAATATTGCATAGTGAGTATTTATTGTAAAATGACAAATTGTCTTTGGGGAAGATGAGGAGAGTGAAAAAAACAGTGTAAATAAGAATCTAAACGAGCAAATTCCTTCCCTAATACTAATGACCGTTTCGCATTGGATACGGCCTCAAACGGCGCCGTTTACGTTCTGGGGGAAAAACGGCCCTCAATCCGAGCTGACGGAAAACGGTCAAATAACGGTGAAAACCGGCGATCGTTTTTCATCGTTTTTTGACAGTTTTAGGCCTTTTAAGACGTCGTTTCAGACGGCCTGAATGATGCACCTGGGTAAGGGACGAACATTGCATAAAGTGTGGCATCTCAAAAACATCTCATCACTTAACTTTTTCTGGATTTGAGTAATAACTTGTGTCTTCACTATAAATATGATTCGAGATGATGTCAAAATATTGCTTTCGTCATATTTTCAGCAAGCCTCGATGGACAATATATCAGTTTGTTTCTGCCTGTTTCGTCACGTCTTTGGAAAATCTTATGTTTTTATTATATCGACGATTTCGCTGTCTTTTGTTTTTGCTGCGGTCCTTCTACTGTCTAATACTGCAGCCATAGTATGCTCGAGTGATCCTTTCAAATAGCTCATGTTCACCAATGACAACACAATATTTTTTTGCTCTTTAAGAATTCCGCTTTTATGTATATATGTATTCGATGACATCTTATAATATTTTCAAATAGTTCGTATATCATTCGATCATTTAAGTTCAATTTCATGTTAAGTTTATAAATATGACTGATTGAAATCTCTTCGTGTGTTGTCATGTCATGAAAAGAATCTGCTGTTACCTAACCGTTGGATAAATTATTTTTTTCAATTTTTTCCTTCATTTCTGTGAAATGAAAGCATGCAAGTTTCTTCTTTTTGGCTTCTAAATTTGTTTGCACTTACGGTGAGTACTAGACTTATGTCTCCAGATATACTCTGTTCTATTTATCTTTACTATCCTAAACAAAAAACTCTGGATTTTACTGCATAGTATATCAGAGGTACACCTACTGAGGAAGTCGGTTTTCGCGTCAACAGTACATCTCTAGTTAGGATCATAGAAAAATATTTTCGAAGTGCTCTATGGTTCATCTTATTGTGTCAGCCCAAATATTTGGCTTTACTAATTTATTTGGAAAAATGGCGCGTACTGCTGACATGTCTAACGTTTTTCTTGCACTTGAATTAGTATTTTCTTACTTCTTTCGACCCAAAAACAGCTTTGAAAAAGCACTCGTACCATTGCAGAATGAAACGAAAGGTGCGCTTGTGGGCACTTTCATGATTTATGATTAAGACGTATGATTTTTCTCAAAAGAATTCCGTAAGTGTCCCCACTTTACACGTATTTTGCGAAAAAGTTGCTTTCGATCTCTAAGCTATGTTTCCTTGAAAAGAAATTTTTTTTTTCAAACAATTTCATCCAAGTACAGAAAATATCAACTGTCAACTCGTTTCTAATTTTCTTATTTGCTTAGTTTTGGATATTTTTGTACTATTTTTTTCATTGTGTTAATAATGAGCAAACGGAATCTTTTTTTTATTCACCTTTCTGAAACAAAGGGTTTTCTAAGCGGAAGATATTTATATATCATAATCTTTGAACATAATCAGAAAGAAGCATCCGTCTACTAGCAAAATAGAAAAATCTTAGTTTCCAAGAAAGCTCCAACAAAAGTAATCGAGAATGGGAAATCGATATCCGGAATCAATTTTCGTATTTTGTAATATTTCAGTTGTTGCCCATGTGAAAATTTTTGCCTTTGTAAGCTATTTGCAAGCGGCTTAAAAAGGCTTACACTTCAATAAGCTGCTTATTTTAGCTTAGAAAACGGTTGTTCTAAGCACTTTACAGCACTTATCATTAAAAATCGCTTAAAAGTGCTGTAAACTTCATTTTTCTAAGCGCTTTTCAGCATTTACCATTAAAATTGCTTAAAAGTGCTGTAAATTTTTATTTTCCTAAGCGCTTTTCAGCACTTGCTATGGAAATCGCTTAAAAGTGCTGCAGATTTTGTTATTTCTAAGCATTGTACAGCACTTACACTGAAAATCGCTGTGCTTTTTCTTGTATTTAAGTAGGGTGCACGACTTGCAATAAAAAATGCTACTCATTCAGATAAGACTATAGAAAAAAACACGTAAAAACGCGTAAAAAGGGTGAATATGAATATGAATGTTATGTGTGTGAGTGGATATGGGTGGGCTAAGAGCGAAGGAACATCCACATCATAAATAGACTCGCTATAGAGATGAATGTTATGAGTACTATGTATCAGAATATATTTTATATTAAGAAAGAAAGAAATAGTTGCGTAACAAAACGAGCAAGCGTAGATGAAGTAGACCAAGTTTGACGCAATTAAAAAAAAATCGTTGACTAAAGTTGAAAGGCTATAGATGATTTATGCTGAGATTACGGCTCAGTTAAATTTTCCTCTATAGCGATTTAGCATAAGCTGCCTTTTCATTTTTAACAAAACTTTTAATGACCCATAGTTAGAGTATTATTTTTATAATATGTTTAATTTATTTCAAGAGTTAGGCTTGAAAAGAACAAAATAGCTTGTGTTTTTGATTGCTTTCACATTATTTGACTCAATTTTTCTTTAGTTATTGATTTTTGCATAGGTTACCAAGAAATGTTCGTTACTCTGTTCCAAATAACAGCTCAAATGTGAATACATTCGTTTAACGAATAACAAACTTTAACAATCTTAACTTCTTTTGTTCTTTTCAAAAACAATTCGCGAGTAATATAGATAATAATCATGGTTTTTTCTTTTTATTATGTCCTTCTTTTGTCTATACATATTTTCCCATCTTTTACTTTTTCAACAATTAAACTAATGAATCGTGAGAAAATGTATTTATTTCTTTCTCTATCTTTTATGCTCGTTATGCATCTAATTGATGAACTTATACTGCCACCATAAAGTTGAGCCAAAGCAGACAAAAGACTTGCAGATTATTTTAGTCAAATAGTTTTTTCACAAAAATATTTACATTTTTTGCAAATCATTTAAAAGCCTCTTTTAGATAAATCCTAGACGTTCTTCCTTTTACAATCTTCTAAATTAACTGATAGATGGCCCTCATAGAGATAAATGATACATATATGCACATGTTTCGCAGAGATGTTGAGTTTGATCAAAAAAAAATAAGATTATTATTAGAAAAAAACAATATTTTTTCTTCGTACAGGCTATTAAGATTTGATATAGTTGATAGATCCGTACCCTCATTCGAACGACTCGATATAGATCAGTGATTAAATACTAGTGCTTTCGTTGAAATATTTTACTCTGATATATGCAACACAGTTATATATAAAGCGATCGAACATTATCGATCATATCAGCTTTTCATCTTTCTATTCATTGTTTTCAGCAAAGTGGAATTTTCATTGTTTAGTTTTTCTGTTTAGGTCAGTACCCTAGTGAAAATACTCATCAAGCGAGTACGACTTTCCAGCGTGAGTACTCATATTACTCACGCGAGTACTCGAGGAATTTTATGTGTATTTTTACTCTCCGTGTACTCTAATGAGTACTCGTACGAGTGTATTTTTAAAAATTTACTCATAGGCAGACAGATGAGTACTCAAAGTCGTACTCATGCTAGTTGTTTCGCAGAATATTTAGCAAAACACTTATGCATTAGCATATACAAAAATAAATTGGAACTATATAATAAAAAAAACTAATGCAATAAAATGAAAAATAGAGAAAATCAATTGAATAAATTATTTATTTTATACTCTATTTTTTTTGGATGAATCATTTGTACGGATAAAACAAATGGTGACTTTAAGATAGAAAAGAATAATGATTTTTCATTTTCATTTGTTCAATTCTTCGGAAAGATTAAGTTTTTTCTAAATATATTAATGTAGATTCGTTTTTATTTTATTTCCTAAGCTTAGGCCAAAATTCTTTCATTAAAATGCAATTTTTTTAGATTGATTGTAGAATATCATGGAACACAAGGCAGTTCGCAAATTGTGTGACAAATCGATCGCGATTTTAAAATAAGAAGATGTGTTAATAAACTATAGACAAATAATTTTATTTTGTATTTATTTTTTTGTAAATTTCCTGATGATTGTAAATAGCGATGGATTTAAAAATGTCTGTTTAGTTTTCTAGTGTAATAAGCAATACTGTACGTTCATTTATTGTCACGTTTCTCATCGTCGTTGATTAATTTATTATTTTTCTGCTTCAGTGTACTTTACTGTCCTTAATTTATGTCTTATTGTACTCTCATTCTCTAGGATATAGACAAAGAAACTTTTATTGTTAGAGAAGATAATTAAATATTTCTTTTTTCTTTATTTTATATAATGAAAGTACGTTTTTATTTATTTTTCGAAAGAAAAATGAAAAGAATAAATAAAATTGTATTTTTATGGTATGTAAATACAGAAAATATTTAAATTTCTTCGCTCCTAATAAAGAGTTCTATGTCTGTAATCTTTACGTTAAAATATATGAAACTGATATCAAATTTGTCGTTCTCATGTTGATCATTTTTCTCAACCTTTCATAATGTCCTCTGTTTGTTGGTAGTATTTTAATATTAAATAAAAATTAATGTAGTACAACGGTACTAACCAAAAATATGCTTATAAGTATCTTACATAGGTCAACAGAGCACACAGATACTAGATAGTAGTACTCACAAAACACTCAATATTACACAGCGAGTACTCGATTGTCGTACTCAGATACTCAGATTCTAGCAGGAGTACTACTGATGAGTACTCAAA